AATAATTGTACATTTTCATTAATGTCGTGTGGTAGTATTTAATTATATTATTTAATTGTTTTGGAATAGTTGTGCACACAAACGCCCCACAATTAATACAAACCTGTGGATGATGAGGAGTGAATCTAAAAATGAAAAAAAGTCATACTGACTATAATAAAATGGTACACTTAGCTCACCTCGGCGCAAGATAGTGCAGGTGTATGCTTGTTGTTTAATATTCAATCTGCAATGATCACAAATCTCAATATTCAGAAAACGATTTTGTACTCGGATAAGCGTGTAAGTATGGTTAACAGTTAAAGACAGCACTACAGTCACAATAGTAACGTGTATAATATGAACACTGATCAAATAAAATGTTTTACCTGTAAGCCCGAGTGATGAATCGACGGTAATAATATTAAGTAAAATACACATAAAATACAATTTTTGTTGTAGAGTATTTTTTTCTTGAAATTTTGATTTCAAGTGATCTTGTGAATTTTAATCCAACTGCAGAACGAACGCCCTCGATGTGCGATGAATGTCACCTGCTGAATACTGCATAATGTTATATTACACGACACACACGCACACAATATCAAACAGTGTCACATATACTCACATCATCGATTCGCATCACGCTAGCTCCGGATCATATTATAATATAGGTATTGTCTTCTGTTTTATATTAATGTGTTCTGGCCTTGACCGAACCCATGCGTTATGGTATACCACGGTTTAATGCTATATAGCAAACCCAAGCACGCTCTATGGGCCAACATCTATATAGTTCTGATGGGTTTTTTTTTCATTGACGCTTGTTACCCATCTAAATTCATAAATAAATCCATTATGATATATAATATTATAATAGTTTCATTTCCGTAAGTTAAATTTGACAACTACTATAACCTTGCCTCAGCCCACAATCCCATCGAATTGAAGTTCGTACTATACCACGCAATGGCTAAAATACTTATGTAGTGGTTGGTATATCTATTATAGTTTAACCAACACACTACGTTTCTAAGCTAGGTATCTCGGATATTTACCAGTTACCTATTGGTAGACAAAATACTGTTGTGTATACCTATGTACTTACTTCGTCCTAGGTTTAAATCTATTATGGTTTACGGTGAAAAAAATATGAAAAAATTAAACACATATAAATCAATATTATATAACAGCTGAAAAAGTATAGGAGCTAATAAAAATTGTTGTAACATAGATATTATGTTTTTAGGCTGGATACAACTATTTTTTCTAACAGATTTTCGTAACTCTTCACTATTGCCATACAGACACAAATCAACGGAAAAAAATGAGTAACAAAAAATAAATAACTAAATAAATAACAAAATGTACAGCATGCTACTAGATATTTTCTCACTGAACTTAAACTCAAAAACATATCTACGATTGCTCAATTTACCTTGTCTATAGACTATAGTAGCATGCTATACTTATAAACTATGATATTTTAAATGAAAGACATATTTTATTTTTTAAAGTAATCATCATCTTTTGTTAATTTGTTTAATTAATGTTATTTAATTTTTATAATAATTCCAATTATATATATATATATATATATATGTATATTTATGTCATGCATTCTATTTCAATAACTAGGTTATAGTCTATATGTATAGGTATAACGAAAACGGCAGACCCATTTGCGGTTCTAAATATCTCAGTTCTCAAAGTAGCGGTGATTGTAAACTGCGCCCAAAATACAGGTAAACACAAAATCACACATGTAAACTGCACTCTAGTTTTTATCGAGTGTAAAAAGGTGACACGTAAACTGCGCCCGGGTAAAATTACAGGTAAAATACTTAACTCTTTACAGACATATAGGTGATATGAATAATTAAAAATATAATATAATTTTAAAAAGCAAAATAAATACAAATATTATAATCAGTTGTCGTATTTCTGCAATATAGATATTCGATAACGTGTTGGTATTTCTTGACGAAAATAAAATTTCTGTGATATACTTGAAAAGTACACAATCGTCAAACATAGAACCTTTAATAAGTCAAAATTTAATAAGTTAATAAGTCTGGTGCCGTTTACACTATATCTTTTTAACATAGATAAAATTTCGGGTACAGTTGACAAAAAAAAAGATCATTTGAGCGCAGTTTACGTATGCCCCAAAGTAGTAATAACTTGCAATATAATATTATTATTATTGCGTGAAACGTATTATCATAATATTATGTGTATATACGAGAATACGAGAGTCGTTGAACTGCGGCTTTCTATAGTAAGTACTTACATAATAATAATACTGTACGGACTGTAGATATATAATAGGTAATGCGTGAACGTCGAGGGGTGATATATTTCTTAAAAACTCTGCTCGAGACTAAATATGCGCATGTATTTGTCTGACGAGGGGTGAAGGAGGTTTTTTATTTCTGGGCAATCGCTCGATCGTATATTATTATAATGCCGGTGAGCAGGTATAGTCGTATACGTATATGTATAAGTCTGCGAGGTGTATTTTTTTCTAACTTTTTTGCAATTCGGGTATCTTTATTCACAATGCTTACGCGTGCAGCCTTCCGATAAAAATGACTTCGCCTCACACACATGCGCAAATACGTGGGAATAACGGGGTAGCGCGCGAGGATGGTGCAGAGACAGCGGCGGCGGCGAATTAATGTTTGTACCCATGTATACAAAATATATATACAAAAAGTATTTTTTTAAATATATATATATTATATTATATGTACACACATTCACGTAGGTAAATGCTTACATCGTGTACTAGTGTACTTTGTTGTTATGCGATGACGAACATGTGTACGTACAATATATACCTATACGGCTATACATATTAAATATATATATATATGTATTTCAATATTAGTACATATAATATGGTATTATGTATGGTACATAAAGGCACGCCAAATCGCAAAAAGTGTACTATAAAGTATAAATAAAGGTCAACAACGAGCACGGCCGTGGTTGCGCAAGATGTCTCTCGCGTTTTGATGTAGCTGCGGGTAATGTGAGCACCTATACTCACCTATTATAATAGCATAATACATATTAAGAATATAGGTATATGATATGATTATACATTTTGTATTATACAGTGGTATTCGCGATTCGTACGATTTATTATTTGTGCTTAACGGATGAGAAACTGTACCTATGCACACTGCAGGCATACATAAATACGCTGAGCACGAGGGGAATATACGTTACAATATTCGATTTCAAAGATTATGACTGCGCTGCTGCACGATGCTGTGCAGTGCACGTTATGTGATATACATAGCAATTATCGTATGACTTCAACTAAAATAAAATATAATTACGTGGTATTTTGCAGTACAAACTACGGAGGTGAATATCACTAGAACCTTTATATATAGCACCCCCTTAGCTCGGACCTGACTGTTATTATATACGTCATCGTTCTGTATATAATAAAACCTTTATAATTAGATTCAAAAACCCTGCGTCTTATTGGGGACCCTAAAAATTGTCTAACTCTCTGCTACCACAATATGTGGTGCCAGAGTAACCTGCTGAGGTAGCAGCGCCAGCAGTTATCGTACGATTAAGACCGTGACGTGATTTTATAATAATGTTATTTAACTTTGTGTATTGAAATGTTGCTAATTACCTTTTTTAAGTTAGACGGACTACAAGAATTAATTTATTTTAATACCAAAAATATATCGATGGTAATTTTCTATGGTGGAGGGGGGGGGGGTACTCTACCTATAATATTTATGTATGTACTCTCAAACTTCTCGTTCTTATTTTTTCCGTGTTTTTCAATATAAATCTTAAAATTTATAACAATATCGTTTGTGCAAAACAGCCAGATCGTATATTATAATATGTTAACAGTGTATATATAGTTATGTACTTATATGCAACTGTGCATAATATGTAAAATGCGTATCATCGTCATGCTTGGTTAACTTTTGCTCCGTTGAAGATGTTAAACATTTTTCCTTTGAATTAAAAGTTTACAAATTTAACGTGTTTACTGTAAAGTTGATACGTCAAACGGTCAAAATACATAAATACACATGCCTATTGCCTATGTTCTATATAGCCAATAAAAACTGACGTTCGGACTTTATGCTTGTTTTTAATTCGGAAGAAGGTATTTACATTTTTTTAGGATTAGCATATTATAGGTATTAGATGCGCTGAGCACCGTTGTACCATTTAATATAAATTATTTTTCAAAATAGAAAATATATTATTATTGACAAATATTGGAGTATAGTTTTTTCATATTTTATTTGTCATTATAGTATAACACTCCAATAGGGTTGGGTGGAATAGAATCCAGCAGAAAAAAGTTCGGGGAAAAAAGTACATGGAAAAAAAAGTTTGATTTGATTTGTTGTAATAAAACTTACAATAATAGAAGGTAAGGTAATAAGGATAGCAAAATTAATCTGTATTAAATAAAATATGAACGGTCTGGAAGTTAATTTGTGAAGAGTTAGGAGTAGATAGACCTAATATAGCTTTCCAAAAATTAGATTAAAGGATTCAAAAAACAAAAGACGGACATTTTAGATTCTTGGACGTTCACGAAACTTATGTTCTGCAGGAGTGGTGGTTAATAAAATATGAATGGAAGAATTTTGAATTCATTATTAAATGAACGCATCGATAAACCAAATTATAAGAACTAATATTACGTTGAATAAGAATGTAACATAGTCCGATGGAATTATTTTTCAACTAAGAACGCTAGTGACAAACCGTAGGCAGATACCTTAGATACCTACCTACTTCTGTGATATTTCGAAATAGTGCGCAGTCGGCCAATGTGTTACTAGCGCGAAATGCATTATTGTAAATATGAGAGTGACAGTTTTAAAAGATATAATTTCAATTATACTATGTAACATTATATGGCTATCGTTGTTAATATTTTGGCACCGATGTTCGTTTTGTAATTGGATATGAATATTGTGTGCAAAATGGTAATTGAGCGTCTCTAGGCCAAACGGACGGTATAAAACGGACGTTCTGATCAGTGGTTAGTATTAGTCTTTCGTTCGTCTTCAGTCTGCACATTCTGCATTATATTCACCAGACACTCAAAAGTCAACCTACCTACGAAATCACCATGCAATTCCAAGTAAGCCTAAAGTCATTTTTTTAAATTCAAGTTATCGACACAAGCTCTACGTCAGCGGTCAGCAATAGGTATATAATATGTTACATTCTGTGTATATATATACTGCTGTACACTCAGAGTGTCAACAATTCATATATATAGACTGATTGCCATGTGAATTCGTATAAGTTTTTCTTGACGCACTATGTATAGTGTACATACATATAATATGTATAAAGAAAGACAATATCGAGAAACCATCATTTATCAACAAGCTGCACGTATAATATTTATTCAGTACCATTTAAATTTCTTTCAAAAAGTATTTTGCAATCACCTTTTCGATATCGTCGATATAATTTACCTACTGCCCTCATATACGGTTAATGTCTCTCTACTCGGTCTACTCAAACAGGTAGATAACCATAACCGTGGTACAGCCACTTTAAGACGAGTAAATAATATAATATTATCGAATCGTTATTATCGCATAATAGATATTATTTTTATACGTTTATTTTATTATTACTTTAGGTATCATTCGCTCTGCTTGCCATGGTCGTGTGCTTCGCCGCCGCCGAAACCAAGACGTCGTCATCTGCTCAATCAGACACCAACCGTAGCAAACGTACAGTGATCGTCCCGCTGGCCGCCTCACCTTACGTGGCCGCACCGTACGCCGCCGCCTCGCCTTACGTGGCCGCACCATACGCCGCTGCATCGCCTTACGTTGCCGCGTCGCCTTACGTGGCCGCGCGGTACGCAGCTACCCCTTACGCCGCCGCCCCATATGCTGCAGTGGCTTCGCCGTACGTCTCCGCTTACTCCGCTTACTCAACCTACCCATACGTGGCCAAGACCTTGGCTTCCCCGTACGCTTACTACCCATGAACGAACCGTCAGGCCAGCCACCGAAATCTATATTATACCTAATGCAACGTTTATTTGACTTTGATGATGAGAGTACCTGTTTATATTATTTTATACAGAAATAACCTGTATGAAAACTTATAAAACTCTTATAGAAATTAATGAAAAACTCTTTTTATGTACTCAAAATGTATTGTTGTACCTACTTTTTTCGAAATGTGAATAAAAATTCAATTTATTTATCAAATAATTTGTTGTGACTTATTTATTGTTTCCTATTCATTGACTAACAGGTATTTTATGTAAAATGAATATTGAATACATTTAATGATTCCAGTGGCGTAGGTGCCCTTGTAGAAATCATAAAACAATACAAAATTGAGTATACTTATACCTAATTGACCACTATAGACCAAGAGTTTGTCTTACATATTGCATATAAGATTAGATAAACATTATTATACTATTAAGAAATGATAAAAGTTTATAGGTATAGTTTGTTGACATTTCGATATTATAATCATAAAATTTAAAATAATAATATTACGTTATACTATGACTCAAATTACGATTAAAATACGACAATATACGATTCATATTTTGTGAAATTAAAATAAAAATGCAATTAAAAAAATTCCATTATTTTTTATCATTATCGTTTTTCATTTTTACTTTTTTGAATAACAATTATAGGTGCTATATACATTTTTAATTTTATGATCAGTAGCAGAATATTTTTGGAAGTAATTCGAATTTCGATTTACAAAAATTGAATTTCGAAAGATTAGTTATAATAGTTATAATACTATATAAATTATAAGTATTTATAGTTTAAGCACACTGTTGTAGTAAATTCTATACAGATACACTGCGTACTTATCAATAATCTACAGACCAAAAACATATATTATATTTAAATTGTCTGTAAGTTTTGTATATTTGGTAATAACTGAAAAAAGACGAAATTACTTGAACAATTTTACTGTAACTTATATATGGATAAAAGAACAAGAGATTATCCCTCTCTATATAGTTAAACCACGATATACATGACTTATTATTGATGTATTTTGTGGTGTGGGTTTAAGATGTAATACTTTAGCTATAATTTAAACAACTATTATTATACTTAAATTATTATTACAGCTGTGACCTTGCAATGATGCAAATTGCAATTCCGTCGGACGTCATGTTTTCACTTTGGCAATCGATATTTCATTACTTTCTATTAAGTATAAATTGTTTTAAAAATTATTCTTTACAGAATTAAATTTCAAGTGTAAAAGTATGCACTTGCACTACGAAATACATATCATGCTATAGATACATGTACGATGTACATATACCCATTTCATATTTGACATTGTATTTTGTTTTATTATTCACCACCGATTATATGTATATTGTGTATAGTATATTATATTATAAATTAATATTTTATTATAACGTAATATGCTCAAAGCTGTTATTTTTTTTTTTTACTTTTTAATGGTAAACGTTCCTCATAACATCACAGTTATCTATATCTAGGTGCTCAAGATTTTGTGGAATTAATTTTATTACAAATAATATTTTAGTCAAATATGATGGGTTATGCAATGATATTTGTTTAAGGCAAAATACAATTATAAATTGTAAGACAAAAGTAAAAAATATTTATTTCTATTTCTCTCAAATATATTTGGAACACTAATATTTAAATTTTTAACATACAAAACTAAAACATAAAATGTCAGTATAGTTAAAAAAATGTGTGTCGCGTAGCAAGTGCTTAGTATATGTATATCTAAAGCAATATCATCATTTTTTAAATTATAGATCCTATGTAATATAAAATATAAATCAGTGTTATCGAATAATAAACATTAAAATTTAGTAATTTTAGTTAAATAAATTACAGTTAACGTGATTAAATATTACATTTTTGTAAGTATTTATTATAATGATAAGAATATTTTCTTATTTTTTTGGTGCACTTACAATAGTTGTCATATTATTGTATAAAATTATTAATTGTTAGGTACATAATCTCCAAACAATATTTAAACGTTCATAACAAATATATTTTAGGGGATACAGGAATCAGTCAATCAATCAATCATTTATTTTTAGTGGAAAAAGGTCTGGCGGAATATGACGCCTGTCTATGATTACTTATAAACTATAATACATGTATGTACTTCCAGGCTTGCTTTAAAAAAAAAACGTGTAAAATATCAACAAAAATATTAAGATTAATTTGTATTTATACAACTGAAATATTATTATAATATCTGATGTGATATATTGATGGCAAAAAAGCTAAAACTGAAAATTAGACGTTTAAAAAAAAATCAATTTAATATCTACGCATTCCAATTTGTATTTTATAGTCTAATTTAATTAACGAAATAGTACAATATAAGCATTGCTTACAATGCATTTGGTTTTATAATCCGAGGGTTTAGTGTTGGAGTAAAGTTTCCTTGGCACCCTAAACTCAAAATGTATATTCTATGATCTCATCGTGGTTACGGTAACATATTTTTCATAACACATTGTTATAATATTATAATATAAATCTAAACATTTATAAGAAAAATAACATGATAATTTATTTTTTTAAATATAAATTGATTATTAAATATAACTATAATATAAGGTATCTATAATAATGTTTTTACAAGTAGTTATTGAATTTTTTAACTTAGCGTGTCCAATAGCCAATAGAACTATTACCAACTGCATTCTACATTTTTTCATTTTTTCAAAATTTAAATATTTTTGTAATAAAATATAATAAAATCTTATAATTCCTGGATAGTTGCAGTTCATAATAATATATTAAAATATAGTTTAGATATTATTCAGTTCACATTTCAAAATAATATATAAATAATTATAATATAATTATGTAGGTACCGTCCTAGCCCTAGCGTTATAATAGGTGTGTGCGGTGTGCCGTTCTTCCAGGGGCAGCATATGCAGCAAATACTGCATCCGAATATATTTTTGATATTTGATTGACTGTTTCTTTTACCGTCACATAATAATATATATTTCTTAGGTATAAAAATATCATTTTTAAAGTATTATAGAAATTGCTTATCAAAAGGCATTCCATCAGAAAAAGATAGGATTATAATATTGTATAGTACTTAGAAAACATAGGTAAACAATAAATATCCATCATATTATGTGTCTTGAAATGTGTGTGTTAAAAAAAACAAAATACCTTTATATGCATACATTTTTTTTTCTTTCGCAAATCTTAACTAAAATACATATAATCTTATAGAATATATTAGAGTATTATCTATAATTTTACCATAATCTTGACAGTCCCTCACCTTTAAGTAGTTTTTTTAGGGTGTGGGGGGTTAGGTATCCACATTTCAAAACAATTAGGATTCACAAAAATAAAATTGGGGAAAACGAGTTTTAATAAAATGTCTCCTAAGTAGTAAGTTGTATTACTGGAAATTAAAAAAAAAGTTAAGCGTGGTGCCACATACATTTTTTATGAGCGATTTAATTTAAAATTTCCAAACAAAATTGAATATTTAAACGAAAAATAACGATTTTAGTTTGTTTTGTTAAAATAATGACAAACTCGAAACGTCGATTCGTAAAATAAATTCGTTTTTGTCTACTTGTTGCACCCGATGGCTGCTGCAGTAGCGTCTTTTCAGTGTGATACTCTAGATATTCGCTGGCTCAGACCAGTGTGAAAAAAACTTACTGGGATGTTTGTAGTGTTTGTACCATATCATTAATGACATGGTTCATTATCTAGGTGTGGGATAACTTTACACCGGTTTGGATCAATGAATTTCCAGACTGTTTCACCGCACGAAGGAACACCTACCTACTTATGCCGACAGTCGTCCGCTGAACGTCGTGACATATAAGACAGTACGAGTGGTTAGTGGTTATTCTCCAAAATCCAATTATTGTTCGGGAGCGGATTGAGGCGAGCAACGCTACCTATATTATAGACTATGGACAAAAAGTGAGTTGTCTACGTCTTCTCTCCTCCTCCCATGAAAACGAAACAGAATGACGTCATCGACGGGTATTACAGTGTTGCAAAATTAGGTGCCACGAAAGTATACTGGAACGACGCTATCGAGAAAACTATCGAACGACTCGATAGCGCTCCAAACAATTAATTAAATAAAAAGTGGCTGCTTAATGGCTCGTTTTTAAGCAGAACAGACAGCGTAAAGCTATAGAATCGATAATGGTCAGGCATGCGTTTATTTTACAACTACAACTATTCCGTTATGGACTAAATTCAAAGGCCGATTCCAACAAAATATTATATGACGAAAGTCGATCTGTTAATTAAATATGGACCCGAAATTGTTTTCTGAGGTATAACTATTAACTTCTAAGCCTATTTCAGCCGTCCTATCCGTCCATCGACAGGCTGGAAACGGACGTCGTCGTCGAGATCAATGTTCACAGTCTCGAGAGTTCGAGATGCAATCCGGACATCCGGTCCCGAACTTCCAAATCTACTACGACGACTGACTTGCAATAATAATTAATAAATGCCTAGGCAAGTGATACAATAACACAATAAAAATAATATAATATTTCGTGCATCATGGGCAGCTGCGCGGATCTTTTGTTTTTTCCCCCAAGTGCAGCAACAAACAGTACGCACTGTAAGAGAAACTGATATTGTTATTGCGCTAGTCGTCTCGCGATAGGTGGATGATAGTGGACAGACGCTAGGACGCGTAACACGTCACGGACCGCCGCCACGGCGACGCCATCGCGCCCAACCGGAATCGCGGCGATGTTCAGCTGCTCTCGCGACCGTACGCTGCAGCAGCTATCGAACGACGCTTCGCCGCCGCGCCACAGTCGCCCAGCCATCGATTAGTAATAGTAATAATGATATTGTTATTAATCATTCCGATTGATGTTTTCCGATATCGTCTCCCGTAAACCGATCCGCGATATTATTATTACTATTATTATTATTATTATTATTATTAATACAGTGCGTTATTAACGTTATTATTATTATTATTACACTATCGTTGCACGGGTTGCGGATCACATGGTTTAAGTTCCTCGATAACGGTTATCATTGTCTGTCGTGTCCATTACGGTCGTGTCGCGGTGGTGTAAACGGTGTTGTTGTTGTCTATGCACAAAGCCCGAGTGTTGTTATTATCGAAAATCGTTGGCGCCGCGTCCCGTTCGTCGGCGTATTACGCTTTCGCCGTCGCCCGACATCTGTCGCGCCCGCACGCTACGTCGTCTCGTCGGATTCGGCCATCGTCATTGTGCACCTCAAAGTGGTTCGCATCGTCAGCGGTTTCTCCGTCAGTGGCATCCGTCGTTTGTGGCCGCCGCGGACGGCGTCGTTGCCGCGACAATCGTCGGCAGTGTACGACAACAACTGTGACAGTCGTTGGGGACACGGACACAACAAGTGGCTGACATTCGGTGCTCGAACCAGAATTCTCTCTTGAAATACGGTTAGACACAGTTTTTTGTTTTGTAATTAATTGTCTTAGTGACGAAGACACAGGTGCCCTAATATCTGGGTGTAACGATATTATAATCGACATGAAAATCTGATTTGCAACTTTTGGACATGTTACTTAGTGTGCATGCGCTTGCCTCTGCTCCGACAGTGTAAAGCGATTGAGCCGTGTTGACCTACGTCGGTCCTGGCTGCGTAGAATTAGGCTCTTAATCTGCCTCATCCGGTTGTAGGTACCTGGTACTCAGCACTTAAGGTTCTGATGAATTTGTCTATGTCGCATATCCCCAATCACTATAGCATATATATTTGATTGTATTATGTGTATTCACACAACATGTAGGTATTCGTCGACCAACTATTTTTAATTAAGTTATTTCGGTGTTGCATTATAGCAATTACTACAATATTTGTTGTCTTAATGATTCCTAGTTTTATCTTTAAACAAATAGTTTATAGTTGTCCTTTAAATAGGTACTATACAGGTACTATATACCTATTTTTGATTCAACTACATGTGAGCTACCTAGGTTAGTGTCTTTAAATAAAAAACTTAAATTTAAATTTCACTATAGGTAAATTAATAAATTGTATTACTAAAAATTCTAAACAATTGATTTAAAAGATTAGTTTATATGATAAACTTACATCTGCAAATAAAAATAATGTTAGTGGTAACTCATCTTAATATTTCCTTCCTAAATATTTATAGATACACTTTATAGCTAGGCCGTATATTTTTAAACTACCTATAATTAATACTATTATAGATACATTTTTATTATGTATATATATTATATTATATTATGTTAATATTTAAATAATATAATATAGGTAAGTACTAACCCCAGAAGTTCACTAATACTGGGTCACGACTCATAGCCCAAAAGTGGGTCACTAATAAATTCTTAGTGGGTCATGCAATTTTTTAAAAAATATTTAACAGTAAGAATATTAATAAACGACTTACGTATACAGTCGTATGTATGAAATGTTTTGGAATATATTCTACATTTTAAAGTATCAAATCTACTTTAGTAAGTAGGTACTTACTATTAGTATTAAATATACAAATTATCAAGTGTTTAGAAATTAGGTTAAGTCTAACTTGGGGTTGTATTTAATACTGTATATTTACTATTTACCCATATAAAAATATATAATGTAATATTAATATTTGTTAGATATTGTAGTAAATTAAAACCATAGTGTCTAATTTTATTAAACAATTATCAAAGTATAATTATGGTTAATACAACAATGTATGTCAGTAGGTAGAAATAATATATCTGTTGATAAGTAGGTAATAAAAAATGAAATATATCTTTTATTACAAACATTAAATTACCTGATTAGTGTCAATACAATTTTTTGGTTATAGTTGTAATTTATTTTATTAAATACTTGATTTACAAAAGGTAATTCATTCTCATTTCTCATCTGATTTATATACTTCAAAATAGGTTTATCTTTTAGGTACCAACTTGGCTATGATAATGTCTTGGATATAAATAGGTACCTATGTATCCTGTTTTTTTATTAATAGTAACTGAGCTGTAAATAACTATAAAAAATTATTTAAACCAGATTATCGATGTTTGATTATCAAAATTATCAGATGATTATCATGATTACCAAATGATTATTGATTTTATTAAAAGTGTTCCAGTGATCTACTCAAACCGAGGTAATAACTAATAACTTTTTGCCCATTAAATTCCAATAAACACTTCATCGCTTAGTGTGGAAACCCTAGGTAACCTTACCTATTTATGTAATTAGAGTCAACTGTATCTACCCGTAGTAATTTTTAACCACCTAATATCTAGGTTCTAAATAATAAGCATTGTTCCAATAATTATTGATTTTTATAACCCGATCTATATTACTGGTGCATAGGTATTTGACTGACAATTTAGATAAATTATTAAAATAAATCTTTACCTAATAATAACTATTTTTCTGACTATTTTTGTTTTATAGCAAGGGCAATAAAGTAATTATTTTCCTTTATAAAATTAATAAATGGAAATAATATAATATATATATATACCTACAATAGGGAGAGAATAGAGAAACATAATTTAAGTTGTAATAATATAATAAAATGTACCCAATGATAGCCAGTGGTTGTTGATTTGACTATATTTTAAAATAGGTGCATATACATTTTTTTAGACGTCAATGATTTTTTAAGAACATTTTCATTCTTATTAAGTATGTATTTAGTATTTATTGATTATTAATTCTTTGTCTTACCAAAGGAAATAAGAATTATTACCATCTATTAATGCAACTATTAATTGACTATTGACTTTTGATATAATTTAGATTGAGTTCACCATTTTCATAAATCTGTGTATGTAAATATTCCGAATGTAAAACACATCTTATATTTTCAAAATATAAATCATGGTACCTTTTAAATGTATGGTTAAATAAACAGACAAATAATATAAAACATAGGTTAGGTATCTAATACAAATATAACGATATTTATGAAAGCAAATAGAACATATTATCATTATGAATTTCTTAACTTAAATTATACTAAACAAGGTTATATAGGTAATAATTGGCTATTGTTTACTTAATAAATAGTTTTTATAAAGAAACATTAGTAGTTGTTTAACATTGGTTATTAGTTGAAAATGTAATAAAAAAACTAGAATTAAAAGAATTAAAAAATATATATGGAATATAGATACGCGTTTTGAGTAAACAAAATAAAAGGCGTTTTTAAGTAGCCCTTATTTATTGAATTTACTGTTTGTCCGTCCTATAAAATAAATTTGTCAGTAAACAATGAGGTATTCCTATTAAAATAGAGTCAGTGTCAAAATGTAAAATTTGTTGATTATTTACTAGTTAAGTTTGTCATTATAAATGAAGTATTTTTTTTTTGCAGTGCATGAGGTCTCAAACTGGAAAGAAGCCATTTCCATGTAAGGCTCATTTAAATTTTTCATGGTTAATGTCAAATTTAAATGTACACATGAGTTCTCGCACGGGAGAGAAACCATATACATGTGAGGTCTGCTCAAAATCATTTACTTTAAACCAGCAACTCATTACTCACATGAGGTCTCATACGGGAGAGAAGCCTTTTTCATGTGAGGTTTGTTTAAAACCTTTTTCTACAAATGGCAATTTAAAAATACACATGAGGTCTCATACAGGAGAGAAACCATTTTCATGTGATGTCTGCTTAAAAACGTTTACTCTAAATCAGCAATTAATTACTCACAAAAGGTCTCACACTGGAGAGAAGCCATTTTCTTGTGAGGTCTGTCTAAAATGTTTTTCTACAAATGGCAATTTGAAAGTACACATGAGGTCTCACACAGGAGAAAAACCATTTTCATGTGAGGTCTGTCTGAAATCATTTACTCTAAACCAGCAACTAATTACTCACATGAAGTCGCATACGGGAGAGAAATCATTTTCATGTGAGGTATGTCTAAAATCATTTCCTGTTAACGGTTCATTAATCAAACACATGAGAGTCCATGCAGAGAAGAAGCCATTTTGTGATCCATGTAAAAAATGTTTTCCCCAAAATGGTCAGCTTGTCAGTCACCCAAGAATTCAGGAGGATCCAAGGATGCTAGAGGACAATGCTAATTGTATGATGTCGACTTACAAAAAGTCCTTTAATTTAAACAGTAATATTTATTAATTGACTGTTCAAAACAATAAATTGTCTATAATATAAGTTTTTAACATTTAATAAAAGTAATTTTTGATGCTTAAATATATGTTTATATTTATTTATTAATTTAAAATAATTTGCTAGTGCAAATAATCTATGATAACAATATTGTTAAAATCAATATATTATATTATTTTTACACTTACTTTTTTTTATATTGGAACTATTTGCTTACACAATTTAATACTATTGATATTATATTTTTTGAATTAGAGTTATATGACATGAATGCATTTTTAATGACTTATAGAAATACAATTATCTTATTTACTTTGTAACCTACGTCCTACACCGGGTTTATATAACCCTAGGTATAACCATTGCAGTCCATATTGGCCTTTGGATTACCCTATGTATTAGAGGTAATCCCCGGAGACATAACATTATTCATTAATGTACCTTATTTGAATAAAATGTATTGAAGATAAGTAATTATTTAAATCTACTTTGTAATTTTCCCAATTTTATTCAAATAGTAATATAATGTTAATCAATAAGTATTAATACATGATAATATTTCAATATCTGCTACATTATTTTGTCATATTTCGGGCTTGATATTCATTATTAGAAGAACATTCCATCCTTAATGAACGATCATAAGGCCAATATGAACTGCATGAATTATATCTGAAATGACGTACTTACTGCTTTGGTCTTTGATAGTACTTCTATATGAACTAAGATGTATTGTATATATTGTAATTAAGTTATCCACTGCGTAAAATCATTTAGTAATACTGATCTTGGTACGCATTATTTTAGATAGAATATTACTGTAAAAATATACAGATAAAATATTGAACTCGTGGTAGTTTTAAAGGTTAATATTTTTAATATATTATTGTAGTAAAATGAAAGTGATATGTGATGTCTTAAAAAATATTGGAGTAAGCTTACCATAATCGGTGTTTCAACATTAGTAAAATACACCAAAAATATTTTGTTTTTATTGGATTGTAATATTGTATATTTTTTTTTTTTTTTTAACATCAATGTAATAATATATTTTCTCAAAAATCTAAGATCTAAAATAAAGATATTCCATTTTATTGTAAATCAAACTTACTCAATGTGTAATAAATATTTAATATTTATGACCATTTTTGATTAAACTATTTAGATGTCAATTAAAAATGTACTTATCACTTAAAATATTACTTTTTTAGATATTTATTTTTATTATTTTAGATTCAAGTTGAATGAGAAATGTATTGGTTTTACAATGATGTGTTTTTTTTTAATTTCTTAAAGCCTAATAGCGTACAAACATTACTAAAATAATCATAATAGTATCAGTTTTTAACAATCTGTTTTTGTTATTTTGCTACCAACAAATTAAAATAAAATAAAATGTGTGTACCAATTATTAATTTCCGCTTTATTTAAACATGAATGCATTTTCAAAATAATCTTACAATTTTTGCTGCAGGAATAATATTTATAGTGTATGATAATTTCATATTTACATATTCGGAAACAATTTTTTCTTAAATAAAAACTGTTTACATAGCTCCAACAATAATATTGGTTGGTTGATATTTTATACGATTGTATATCTATTCTTTGAAGTTATTCCCTTACTGCACCTGTAAAATCACTTCCCTATTTTCCCTTTTATTCGGCATCAACCCATTAATAGTTTGGACACATGTAAAACGTTGAAAATCAGAAACCGACAGAATCAATAACATTATTTAAAATTAAATGGTACCTACATCTCATATAAGCGAAATATCAAAAACGTTCTCTCAGCCAGTCAAACCTAATTAATTATTATCAATATAATCAATATTATTTGATTCCCAGTAACTGGATTGAGAGCTGTAGACTTAATGAAAGGTCTGAGTGGTCTGACATAAATTGTCACATTTTAATTTTTATAGCTGAATATCAAAAACTGTAAACGAATAGCTGTTTTTGAAAATATAAAACAATTTATTATGTACCTATATTGCCTATACCTTTCGCCGTACGTTTTTTTAAAAATTTAAACAAAGAAAATACGGCACGACCAACAGGTGTTGAGAACTCAAATTGCTTGTTTGATGCTTTCTTCGCCTACCTTGGCGCAGAATGGCCGTTAAGTGGCTTAATACTTTGATATAGATCGGTTTATAATACAAGTATTTAGTCAGCACAAATGCACAATATTCGTGATGTAAATTAAATTAAATTTAAACCATTTGATTTATAAGGTAAATTGTTGGTAATTTCTGAATTCAGTAATTTCCTATTATAACGCTAATAAAATTATATTATTTTAAACCATTAAATATCCACTATTTTTTTTAGACTAATCCGATTGATTTAATTTTAAATATTTTTAATCTAGGATAGTATACAACCCATACTAAAGAAAAAGAAAAAGTGCAATAGGCATAATGTATGTTTAAATTAAGTGCAATAACTTGAGTGTCTTGAAGAAAGAAACTGTCCGGTGCAGGTACTTCGGAAATTTTAAATATAATAATTAGTAAATAAGAAAACTCACATTCATATATATATTTCAAAATTATGTAGAATAATCTGTATTACCTAGTAAATTAATGTTTCAATTTTATTTACTGTGCTACTTACTGTGTTATCTCTGTTTGGGTTATTGATGTGCATGTTTTGTTAGCAATGGCCAACCATTACATACGAACAGTTTTGGAATTCATTTAAAACCACAGTATCTATTACCTGTGTTTAATTAATGCAACTGCATTCAATACTATTATTATATATTTTATAATATTTTTTGTATACTAGATATTTGTATCAACGATTTCTGATCCATGAAAATACCTACAAAGCTTGATGATATGTAATGCGATTTGCAAGTCAATAGGTATAAAAGAGTGACTTTTCACTTAAACTGGTTAGAAAGAAAGGTTCGTTTGTTCGTACGACATAATATAGGTATAAGTACATCGACCAGTGGCCACGCGTCGTGACCGGTCGCGTGGTTTCCGTGACGGCTGTAGTCCTATACAGTATAAAAAATACAATGTATTAATATTATAATTTATAATAATATATTACGCTTATTACGCGTCACCGTATTACAATAATACTATCATCACCCGCCTATTGTCGCCGTTTTTTTCCGCGTGTTTGTATAATTTTTGCATGTACGTGCGCGGTTTACGCATATATAATATCACCAGCAGTAGTGCCAGTAGAGTACCAGTTGTACCTATATACAGGGTGATTTTTTATGCACTCTCATTCTATTATTATGCTTAAATTATGCATGTTTTAAAATTCAGATTTTTACTTGAAGATCATTTTTTTTAATCATTTACATTTTTTGTAAAGATTATTATTTTCAGTGTAAACATTTTAATTAACTACTCAAAGACTACTCAGAATTTCGATTTAGATACAACAAATTAATAAAAAAAAATCATAGCCAAATAATTTTCAGTAAAAAATGGGGGTTCTCATTATCTCATTATTTGAAAAATAGAAGTTTGTATTGTCACAAAATACTCTCCGAGCAGTTAGATCAGTCAGTTAGGTCTGCTTATAAATTCTAAAAATTAGAATTTGAATAAATGTATTAGGTATTAAAGGGGAAAAAACGGGGGTGAGCGTACTTAAGAAATCACCCTGTAATATGTATACACGTCGTACCATAATGTAGTGTGTGTGTGTCGTGTGTGTATCTACTGCTACAGGTGTAATGATGAAGCCGTCCACTGGTGTAGTAGCCGCGGCCAATTAACTCAGGACAAGTCCGACACGTCTGTAATCCGCGACGCATCTGCGGGCTACTCGACCCGAAGGCGTATCCGTCACGAACACCATACATACGAGCGCGTGGCCAGTGGCCACACCGTAGGTTCTATGCGATTATCATAATGTATACGTGTGCGCGCGTGTGACGATAATATATTTTATTATGGCGGTTGGACGCGGTCGACGGGCATGGGATCGTGACCGGTAACCCTGGTTTTTACCGCGTGCCGGAACAGAGTGAGGAATATAAATATTTTTTTAGAAAAAAAACCATCGCTACACATATGTACCTATGTACATTGTATTTGTATAATATGGTTACTGGTTAGGTAGGTATACCTATTATAATACAAACGGTTTGGACGTCAGGAGGAAACGTTTGCGTGCGTGTATGGTATGGAACTTGTGATCATATTGTGCTGTAGCTGTATCGTCATGGCTCAAAATGGAGAAAAAAAAACACTTTCGACAACGACAAAAAGTCTCCAGTGCGAAGTGCCGGCGTGTATACCGATATTCGATAGTATGTTATTATGATTCTATAACGGTCATGGGCCGTTCAATAAGGCTAGGTAAGGTCAATAATTGCAGTTCGTTCGATATAAGTCCATAAGGGCTTTTCGCCGAAGCGAGTCGAACTACGCACATCGTTAATGACACGTTTCATTCTTTGGAATTAATATTTTTTTTTCCCACACCACCATTTATATTATATTATACGAATTAGTTACCTACCTACATGTATATGATGTAATGATGCCACTCGACAGATTGATATTCATTTCTAACTATACACTGCCACATGGGGGGAAAATGTTTTAAGGTCAAGGTTAGTTTTTGATTATACTGTATTAGGTACTGTTATATTATTACAAAATAATAAAAACTCTTAAATGATTCCAGTGATACCACCTATTACACATACGAGGGTATTCCGTTACACGGCGCATGTCCTATTCTAATAATACAAGTAAATTTATCATTTTAGAAAAAAACTAATTCATAATTTAATGGGGATGCTGTATGAAAAATATTTCATAATATAAATATTACATTTTGAACTGTAATTATTATTTGTTCAGAGAAAAATGGGTACCAATAATTTTCTTCGACAAAAAATAATTAAGAAAAGTAAAAGACGCTTACCCATAAATTCAGAATTTTTCGTCTCCGTCTCATAGAACATTTTCGTCCACTAGTTTCAATAGTATGCTGTTAGTTTTGAAATTAGAGCGAACTGACCTATCATCATACTTTTAGGTAAGAACCTTAGCTGAGCATAATCGTCGGCTTTTATTCGATATTTTAATCTACAA